GGCTTGTCTTCTTGGCATGCTATTCTCAATACCAATTAATTCTTAGAGACTTGTCACATTTAATGCTATACGATTTCATTATAAGATTTATTGATATTTTCAACCGTGCAGCTGACATCATTACTTTTCACACTGTAGGATTCTAATAAACTAATTAAAGCTTTCTGTAATAGGTTGTATAGATCTATGTTCTGCCTACTCTCATAAGTCCACCCCCTAATGTTCATGAAGTTTTCACACATAGAGCTCAATTCTGGTCTACATTTAATTTAGTTGTCTCAAAAACATTAACATTTACAAGAACAGAAATAGCAAGGGTCGGGCACAAAGAACACGAGTCAGGAACACCTCAAAGGTGAACTAAATCACTGTCTATTTGGGGCCCTTTCACAAAATACAAATGTTTACATAATATGTGGCTAATAACAATTCTAAAAATAATATAAACCTAATATATTAAATACATATAATAAATTGAAATGTTTCACACTTTCAAAAATAGAATCTAAAAACATGGAAAGATTTTAAAATACCTTGTTTTAGCAAACTTTATAATTTTTCATGGCAGCGTGTACATTAATTTTCATTCAGAATAATTATCTGCAGGCGCGCCCGTCCCGAGGCGAAACAATGTAACTGATATTTTTGTCGATTTTGAGATAATATCATTTGGGAGTATATTATTAAACACACCTGAATTACCTGTGAAATTTTGATGTCTCAATATTGAGTCATTTTGGAGATAGCACAAAACTTAAAACCTAGTGGTTTACCGTGACAAAACAACGTAACTACTATACAAGATTAAGGGTCAAAACAACGTATCTACGATGAAGATAGGTTGTTTTGCCTTGGAATGGTTCACAAATTGTCTTGAGCTGATAATGGAGTTTGACAAGGCAAAATCAAATGTTTACTGGTGTTTTTATATCAATAATCTTAACCCTTACGCTGCCAGATCTTTTCTTAATAAGTCAACCAGAGCGCCAGCTGATAACATCACCTCTAATCCCCTGTGCCAGCTAATTATTTAACAAGCTCACCGTAATGCTTATTTTGATAGTGTATATTATTATTTGCTCAATAATTCATAAACTATTGAGATTATGGAAATATAAATCTAAAAACAATTTAGCAGCATTGGTTGTTTTGTACATTGTATGCTTTTATTTCTGCATTTTATTTATCATTTTAAGTGATTAAATGATAGGAATATTTTGTCAAGGCCTGTCACAAATAGTATATTGGGCCTATTAGCAGAGTATGTGATTTCAAAGTCAAATTACTTGCTGATGAAAATCAAAATAACGAATCCTAGGCCTACGTATATCTACTAACATTAACATCATAGTCCAGGCCAAGCTTGGCCTAGGACCAGAACATCGTTTTCTATGTCAGTTTCTAAGTCTCATTTAGAGGAGCTGTAACAACTACAGAAGAATAAAGTTTCTCAGCATTTCAAAACATCATATTTTCAACTTGCAAAAACTCAAACTTCTAACAAAAAAACACCCAGCAAGTTTCACATCAAAATGTGCAGAAATTCATTAGCTTTCATATCAGTAAATACTATTTGGGTTAGTGTTAAAACAGCCACTCTATGGTCATTTTTTGGAAGACCTTCACCAATTTGCATTTATGCGAAAGTGGTGTATGGCTGACAGTGAGCCTATTCACATTCATGCGAAACTGGCATGCACACCAACTGTGTGGTGTTCCCATTTATGCGAAGATGGCAGCGTAGGGGTTAACATCAACGTATGAACAAGCTTGGTAATGCAAATGATTGCCCCAAATGTGATAAATTCCAAAAAATGTCTTACTTGCAACAATGCTGAGCCTGACATTTTTCCGAGGCAAAACAATGTATTCGCTAATAACTTTCCAATAAACAAACGCTTACAATTATAATTTTACATATAATCATAATGTCTTTAGATACAATCCTGCAAAATTTCAAAAGGGGACGACAATTTATTGTAAAGTTCCGAACATGCAAAATTTAACTCTATTTTTCTCAAAAGTGAAAATTTCAAGTTATGTTGTTTTTGCCACGGACCGGTGGCGCGGCGGTGGGTTAGAAAAATGTGAACTCCGATAAAGCCAGGCACACCCTTACTCGTAGGACGGTTGTAGGACGGTTGTGCAACCGTTGAATCTGTCTCTGCTCTCGGTGGATTTCTTAATGACCTCTGCTGATTATTGATGGTAGAATGAGTTGTGGTTGTCATTAAAAACGATATATTGCGCATGCATCATCATGTTTTGTTCTCAATGGGATTGGCTGTGGGTGTAGTGTTATGCTCGGTGAAATAATATGTTCAATTTAAGCGATAACGGTTGTGCAACCGTCGAATCCATCTTGCTCTCGGCGGGACGCTTAACGAAGTCTGCTGATTATTGACGACAGAATGAGCTGGTTGTCGTTAAAAATGACATATTGCACATGCCTCATCATTTGTTCTCAATGGGATTGGCTGTGGGTGTAGTGTATGCCCAGCTAAATAATATGTTTAATTTTCAAATTAAAAATGTGTGTGGTTTAGGGGTTGAGATTCTTTATTACTTTGTAGCCTACTGTAGGAATTATTTAGCACTGCTTATCAGTAATGTGCATGGCATAACTTTTGGACTACTGCTCAACCCATTATTCCAGCCAATAATTTGGAAGCCTACCATAAAAAAACTATTATTCTAGCCAATAATTTGGAAGCCTACTGTAAAAAATATTGATAGCCAAATGCAATAATCAATAGCCTGTTGGCATTTGTTTATTTTGATAAGCTTAGGTTTCATTATACAGGCTTAAGACAGAGGGAAATACAGGTACTGTACATTATTTTAACATTTTGTGTTATTTACTGAAAAGCGTTTCCATAATTCAATGAAAAATGCTACCGCACAATTAAAAGCTGTCATGTACTGTATAAAGTAATGGAGTAATTAAAATTTAAAAGATCCATTGAGTTTTGGTCTAAATAAATGTATTTTTTCTGACAAAAAATAGTAGCCTAACTATTGTTAAAAGTAAAATTACTTCTGTGGTAATTATGCTAACCAAGTGGATTACTACTATTTATAAGAAACACAAAGACAAAACTTCCATAAAATTAAACTAAAATTTCTGACAAAAATAAGTAAATACCATAGATTTTTTTTTTCATGAATTAAAAATCTATGTACACTATAACTTATGATTTCTGCCAATAAAAAGTTAGTCAATTTTTTCTTTTAGTTTTTGTGAGAAAAATAAATCTATGACGCTACTGTATGTGGTTACTTCTTTTTAATGATACAAATCTTAAGCATTTAAAAAATTGTTTTGATACTGTATGAATATATATATATATATACATATATATATATATATAT